CTTCTCCTCCTTCTCCTCCTTCTCCTCCTTCTCCTCCTTCTCCTCCTCTCTTTCCTTACAGGGAGTAGGCAGTGACTTAAGCCCAGACGTGGCCCTGCCCATGGGGAGAGAGGGGTTTTGGGCTGTGTTTCTCCAGGTTCAGTAGGAAGGTGGTGGGAGAGACTCTGGTGTCCATCCTGAACACTGCCTTCCTCACCAAGGGCTGTGAGGCAGCGGGGAAAGCTTGGGGGGAGGCAGGTGTGGGTTGTCCTCTCACCCAGGGTGCCCTGGTGAGAAGGTGCCTGGGTCGGAGGGACAGGATGAAGTAAGGAGGGTTCATCCTCTTCCCCAATAAGAACCCACCCTGTATATACAACTCAGACCCTTACACAACACAGAATCATGGAATATCCCCATTGGGAAGGGAGCCACAAGGATCAGAGTCCAACCCCTGGCCCTGCACAGACACCCCAACAATCCCACCCTGTCCCTGAGAGTGTTGTCCAAACACTCCTGGGGCTCTGGCAGCCTTGAGGCTGTGCCCACTGCCCTGGGGAGCCTGTTCCAGGCACTTCCATCTGCAGGCTCACTCTCTATGCCAGCTTTGCCAGTCAGAGAGTGTTTGCAGACAGGCACAGCCCGGGCTGACTCTGTTCTCCTGGGACAGAATCTGTTCAGGTAGAGCTGGGCTCGTTGCAGTTTTATCAAAATGCAGTTTTCTGTCCCAAACCTTCAGGCTGGCTCTCAGGAGCTGGCTGCCATGAGCATCCTCTCCCCTGACCTGCAGAGCCCGTGCGTGGCTGCAGGATTTGTGCCATAGATAGAAACCTCCTGGCCAACAGCACGAACCGAGCAGGGGGTTGGTGCATCTTCCCTCCCCCATGCCAAGGCAGCAGCTGCTGTGTGAAAGAAAAAGAAAGGAAAACCACCTTGGAGCCAAATTCCTCCTGAAATGACCGGCAGGGAGGGGAAAAAAGAGGGGTGTTTGTCTGAAGGAGAAAATGAAGCCGTGAATTAGTAAATACCCGGGAGTCAGGAGAGGTGCTGGCTGGAGTCTGGGCTCTCCTGCAAGGAGTGAAAGCTGCTTGGAGAGGGAGTTGTCAGGATGATAAACATCTTCTCTGCCCCCAGCCTGCCCTCGTGTGCCCTGTGTGTGTGCAGCAGGCTGGGGGTCCCTCCAGGGAGGTGGCACCGTGACATGTGATGTTACACCTGCATCCAGCTCTGCTGGTGCCCTGATAAACGAGGGGACTGTGGTATCCCCCTTCCCAGGCAGCCTCCTCTTCCCATCCTGCTGCTGTGCCGTGTGGGAATGCTGCTGGGAATGCTGCTGGCTCTCTCCCCTGGGCTGCCGGAGAGGCTCCGCTGTTCCTCCGGGGCTGAGGCTGATTTATTGCTCCCCATAATTACTCTCAGCCCCACACTCTCCCACCTCCTCTCTGGCCCTGCCAGCACACAGCCACGGTGACATTTCAGCACGTTACTACTGCCCCTAATGGCTTTTACAAGTAGTTATTGCCTTTCTGCCTCCCAGCCTTTCCCTCCTCCCACATCCCTGCCCTCACTCCCTCCCTTCCACTGTGCCCTGGGGCTGCTGGTCCCGGAGAGCTGTGGCGTCTGCAGGGGCTTGAGGTGGGAGCAGGGAGGTTTTATTTCTGCATTGGGTGGGTTTAGATCTGCGTTAGTAGGTTTAGATGGGAGATTAGGGAGAAATTCTTCCCTGTGAGGGTGGGGGGGCCCTGGCACGAGTTGCCCAGAGAAGCTGTGGCTGCCCCATCCCTGGGAGTGTCCAAGGCTGGGTTGCACAGGACCTTAAAGCCCATCTCATGGGGGAAGGAAACACCTTCCATAGACCAGGTTGCTCCAAGATCCATCCCTAGAAGTGTCCAACGCCAGGTTGGAGCAACCTGATCTGGTGGAAGGTATTTCTGCCCACGTCAAGGGTTGGAACGAGACGGGCTTTAAGGTCCCTTCCAGCCCGTGCAGCCTCTGCTCTGTGCTCAGCCAACACCCCCCCGCCTCGTGCGCTGCTTTAACCTCCTGGCTTTGTCCTTTGCTCCGCACAGACCGCTGCGGGAAGTGCCAGTTCGGGGCCATCTGCGAGGCGGAGACGGGGCGCTGCGTGTGCCCCACCGAGTGCGTGCCCTCTGCCCAGCCCGTGTGCGGCTCCGACGGCCGCACCTACGGCAGCGAGTGCGAGCTGCACGTCCGAGCCTGCACCCAGCAGACCAACATCCTGGTGGCCGCCCAGGGAGACTGCAGTGAGTCTGCCAAGGTCCCCTCCATCCCTCCGCTCTCGCCCCCCCTGGCCCTGCCCACCCGAGGCTCGTCGGGTCACCGACTCAGCCCTGCCCACTCAGCCCTGCCCAAGGCTTTTCGCCTTTTCTGGCGTGGTCTTCCCATGTGGTTTAGGAGGAATTTTATCCCCAGCTGGTTTAGTTGTTTCCCCATCGTAGGTGGTATCTGCCCCCCCTTACGTTGCTTGGTAGAGAAATTAGATTAGTGTCCACCGGGCCGAGCAAAGAAATTGGGCTAAAAACGTGTTAATGGCCACCATCAGAACTGAAAGCACTGAGGGTCTGTTTGATCACACACGGCTTTCCCTCCGCCCCCATCCCCTGGGGTTAATTCCTCTTTGTTACCGAGTTTCCTCCCCACTCCCCAGCCCAGGGAAATGTCTGTGCTAATTTCTTAATGAATTAAAAGCCCTGGCTGGGTTCTTCATTAAGGCAAAAGCTGTTTGGGTAAAAGCAATGATTTGAGCCTCATAAAACCTGTCCAGCTGGGTCTGGTGTTCCAGGGATTGAAGTGGTGCATGGAGATCCTCCCTGAATTCAGGAGACAATGCCTGAGTGTGACAGATGACCCTCAGTGCTCAGTGGGTTGAAGTCAGAACACACCATGAGAGTAAATGGGATTTCTTAGTGGTGTAAGGAAGAACTAACTGTTGGACACCACACCTGTGGGTGCTGATGGGGGGGTCAGGAATGCTCAGGGTGGGCACACAGCACCTAAGGGTGCTGATGGGGGGGTCAGGAATGCTCAGGGTGGGCACCTGGCCATCGCAGAGCCTTTGCACCGATCAAATCCAACAATGACATCAGTGGTCCCCAGCTGTGTGACACTGCTCAGCCGGCCATGGGAGCCCCCGTGACGCCTACCTGTGTTCCCCCCTGTGTCCCCAGAGTCGTGTGGCAGCACGGTGTGCTCCTTTGGCAGCCGCTGTGTGGGTGGGCAGTGCGTGTGCCCGCGCTGCGAGCGCCAGCCCCCGGCCCCGGTGTGCGGCACCGACGGGCTCACCTACGACAACCAGTGCGAGCTGCACGTGGCCTCCTGCCAGCAGAAGAAGAGCATCGAGGTGGCCAGGACGGGGCCCTGTGAGGATGGTAGGTGTGAGGGTGTGGGGGTGCACGAAATGGGGAGAGAAGGGGGAGAGACGAAGGGTTCCGCTGCCACGGGAGCCCTGTTGCGTGGTGCTCGGGCATGGTGCCCTGGGAGACCCCCAGAATGCCCAGCACAGTGTGCCAGCAATGCCTCCTGGTCACTCAGCACCCTGCCTGCCACCCCCCTTTCCCCTGCACCCAGCAATGTGGAGGTGATGCTGCCTGGTCAGGTGGGGAAGGAGTTGTCGCTGCTTTAATGTCACACTTGGGCGGGTCTCATCCAGGGAAACAAAGCCATTCCTGGGGCAGGGAGCGCAGCTGCTGCTTTGCTTCTCTCTCTTCTGGGGCTGCTCCAGGGCCTGGCCTGTGACCTGGTCCAGTGGGTGACATCCCATGGCATCCTGGTCCCCAGGAGGGGCCTTGGAACAAGATGATCATTAAGGTCCGTTCCAACCCAACCCATTCCATGGTTCTGTTGACTGAGTGCCAGGGAAGGTTGTGGGGTTGGCTGTACCTTGCTTGGCCAGGCTAAAAGCTGAGAACCTGCTGATTTTTCCCACTTTGGGGAAGGCTGTGGGTTATTTCTGGCTGAATTCATTTGGGGAGGCACCTAAACCTCCCCGCTCTGGTGAGCTGAGATTCCCTGGCTCGTTGCACATGTAGTCGAGCTGGAAAAGACTTCAGTGCATGGCAGAGCTTAAGGAGAGAGGAAGACATAACATGGTGTTTGATCACAGCCCTCCTTGGGGAATTTCAGGTTGATGTCCCTCTGGGAGAAGAGCTTAAATAATTCTCTGTGTAATGCCAAATCCCAGCCTTTGATCACTCAATAAAAAGGGCCAGGTTTCCCTTCCCCCCCCCCCGCCCTTCCCCTTTAAGAAGCCTTTGAAATCAGCAACATCTCTCTTGCTGCTGGAGCTCTGAGCATCTTACAGAGAGGCAGCCAGGCTGGGGACAGGCTTTAGGTACTTAAAATATCTGCCTAACCAAACTTCTAAACCCAAACCCCGTCCCTTCCTCTGCTCTGCTCTCCATATCATCAGCAGCAATCTCCCTGTTCACAGCACGTTTGGGAGAGCAGGAAAAGGAGTGGGATCAAAGCATGGAGTTAAATTGTCACCAAGGCTGGTGGCAGCCCTCCCTCCCATGCATGGCTGTCAGCTGGCTGAGCTGCAGGGAGCTGCAGGAGCCTTGGTTTGGCTCCTGCAGTGATGCTGGAGGAGGAAAACCTCAGGCTAAAGCAGGTTTACAGTTCTCATTGTGTTGGCTCAGCACAGTCAATGGTGGGAGAACCTGCTTTGTCCAAGAGAGAGGGATCTTCCCTGACAGCTGGGCATAAGCATCCAAATATATTTGGCCCAGGATTTTAGGGTTGCTTGTGCTGAGGAGGTTGAATCTGCTCGGATTCGGTCGGGTGTAAGCAGCTGTGGGCACATCCTGGTGCCAGGACAGGGCTTTGGCCCCATCTCCTTTGCTCCCCCACTGTGCTGGGGCTAAGCCCTGTGTCACCAGGGTGGTCCTCCCTTGCAGAGTGTGGCTCGGGGGGCTCTGGCTCCGGGGATGGCAGCGAGTGTGAGCAGGACCGGTGCCGGCAGTTCGGGGGCTGGTGGGACGAGGACGCCGAGGACGATCGCTGCGTGTGCGACTTCACCTGCCTGGCCGTGCCCCGCAGCCCGGTGAGCCCCCCTGCACCCTCCCCTCCCTCCCCTCTTCTCCTCCCTTGGTTCCCTGGGCCAGGAGAGGGCATGCCACGGGATAGAGAACCTGCCTTCCCGTGCCAGGGGCTGCCCTGAGCGGCTGCCCCTCCCTGTCCTGGCAGGTGTGTGGCTCTGATGGTGTCACCTACGCCAACGAGTGTGAGCTGAAGAAGACACGGTGTGAGAAACGCCAGGATCTCTATGTCACTGGCCAAGGAGCCTGTCGTGGTGAGTCCCCTGATGGCAGCCACCCCTCCTCCCCACCAAAGCTGGCACAAGCCCTGGGGGTGCCCAGCCTGGTGCCCTTTCCCTGTGGATAAGCAAGGAAGTGCCCGCTGTGTCCTTGTTGGTTTGCTGATCCCACTGCATCATTCCTGTTCCATGCCCTGTGCTCTCCCTTGGCCAAGGGCAGGACCTCTCCTCGTGGCCTGTTCCCAGAATCTCCAAGTGGTTTTGCAGGAATTGCTGCCTGCTGCTCCATCCATACCTTGGCCATGCATCCCAGCAGCGTCCTGCCTGCCAAAAATAACCTGTACCCCTCTGCCTTCCTCCGCAGCCCTTGCCACAACCCCACCACCCCTCCTGGTTGTGCACTGCAGCCAGACCATCTACGGCTGCTGCCCAGACAACATGACCCTGGCGCTCGGAGTGGGAGCAGCAGGATGTCCAAGTGAGTGGATTTTGTGTTGGAAAAACCTTCTAAAACCTTGGAGTCCAACCCTTGACCCAGCACTGCCAGGTCCACCACTAAACCTTGTCCTCAGGTGTGCCACACCCACGTGTTTTTTTAAACACCTTCAGGGGTGGTGATTCCCTGGTCAGCCTCTTCCAGTGCCTGACCGGCCTTTAAGGGAAGAAATTTTCCCCAATATCCCACCTAAACCTCCCCTGGCACAACTTGAGGCCGTTTCCTCTGGTCCTGTCACTTGTTACGTGGGAGAAGGAACAAGCCCCCACCTTGCTACAACCTCCCAGCACGTGTTCTTCCCCTTCTGGATCTACTGGTGATGCTTTTGTCCTTCCAAAAGCTCTGAGACAACCTCCAGGCCTAAATCCCTTTGAAATGCAAGAAGGCAGGATGGGAGCTCAGAACTTGTCTGGATGCCCCCAAAAGTGCCCCTGGGGCCAAGACTGTGCCATTGGTGCCTTCAGCCCATTGCTGGACTCGCCAGCCTGAGTGACAGGAATATTTCACGTGTCCTTGAGCTGCAGGATGAGGTGGAACAGAGCTTGGAGGTTCACCTGGGGACCTTCCACAGGCCACCCCAGGACTGGTGACTGGTGGGTGACTGCACTGTGCAGGAAGCTGAGCTGCCCAGCGTTTCATTAATATTTATTAAATAATTATCAGGGCCAGAAGGAGCATTTTGAAAGGCATTAGCAAAGCCTTTAACAGCTGAGGCTGTGGCTGCCTGGCAGGGAACACATCACCCCATGGAGACACGGCTCGTGCTGTGCCTGTGCTGGGCTAATGCCTGTTTGATGAGGGGGGAATCCTGTGTAATGTGCTGGATAATTTCAAAAGCAGCAGCACTGAGTGTCCAGAGGTGTCCTGGCAGGAGTAGGGGGGGTGCTGCAGGCTGAGGTGGGTGCTGAGCAGAGGAGACAGTCAGGGTGATGCTACAGGGGACACAAGTATTTTATTTTTAGCACCACACTGGTAGTGGTGATCTTGTGTGTGTCTGGTGGAAATCCTGCCCTCCAGTCCACGGGCACAGCTTCCCAGTTCACTGGGTTCAGTATCCCACTGGTTTCTGTCCCACCTGTGTCCCTGTGCTGGCAGCAATCATTCATCAGGGGGTAATTACCACTTAACCAGCAGCTTGAAGCCCCTGGGGCAGGTTTGTCCGTGGATGTGCCACTTCCCTGCCTCTGGCAGAGTGGGGATGTGCTCATGGCACCCTCCTGGTTGCCCCCCAGGTCTCCCTTTGTCCCCGTGTCTCTTTTCCCCTGCTCCCTGTGGGTGAGGAGAAGCGTCTCTCTGTCTATCTTTGGATCGCTCCCCTCCATCAAGTTCCTAATTAATGAATTAATAATAAACTTCTAATAGCTTCCTTCCCCTTTGATGGTAATGAGAGAGGAGTCCTTGATGACAGCAGGCTGATCCCTTGGAGGTTTAGTTCCCCCTCGGAGCAGGAGCAGCTGGTGGAACCTCCCCCTGCCCAGCGCGAGCCCACCCTGGCTGGAGCTCGGGGGCTCCTCCCTGGCTCAGCCCCTCTCTGAGGCTCTCTCTGCCCACAGGCACGTGCCAGTGCAACCCCTATGGCTCCTATGGAGGGTCCTGTGACCCTGGCACGGGGCAGTGCTCCTGCAAGCCCGGCGTGGGGGGGCTCAAGTGCGACCGCTGCGAGCCGGGCTTCTGGAACTTCCGCGGCATCGTCACCGACAGCAAGAGCGGCTGCACCCGTGAGTGGGGCAGGGCTGGGGCAGCACCCGGGGCAGGGGTGGGGTGTCAGCACCCCTCATCCTGCTGCTCCCACGGGCACGGCCCCGTGGCCTGCTCGGGGCGGGTGGCAGGGTGTTAATGTCAAAACCGTGAGCCCCAGCGTCGGTCCCGTTGTCAGGCACCTCCAGTGACTGTTGGTGCCGTTGCAAGTCATCCAGAACCTGTTTGTCCCATTGTAAATCATCCAGTCACTGTCCCATTGTAGTCACCTTCAGCAGCTGTTTGTCCTATTGCAAGTCCCCCACTGGCTGGTGGTCCTGTTGTATGTCAGCTCCAGTGGCTGTTGGTCCCATTGTAAGTCACCTCCAGTGGCTGTTGATCCCATTTTAAGTCATCCAGTGACTGTTTTTCCCCTTGTAGTCACCTCCAGCAGCTGTCTGTCCCATTTTAAGTCCTCCAGCAGCTCTTTGTCCTATTACAAGCCATGCAGTGACTGTTGGTCCCATTGCAAGTCCTCCAGTGGCTGTTTGTCCTGTTGTAAGTCACCTCCAGTGACTGTTGATCCCATTCTAAGTCATCCAGCAGCTGTTTGTCCCATTGCAAGTCCTCCACTGGCTGTTGGTCCCATTGTATGTCAGCTCCAGTGGCTGTTGGTCCCATTCTAAGTCATCCAGTGACTGTTTGTCCCATTGTAAATCATCCAGTCACTGTCCCATTGTAGTCACCTTCAGCAGCTGTCTGTCCTACTGTAAGTCATCCAGCAGCTGTTTGTCCTATTGCAAGTCCTCCACTGGCTGTTGGTCCCATTGTAAGTCAGCTTCAGTGACTGTTGATCCCATTGTAAATCATCCAGTGACTGTTTGTCCCATTGTAGTCACCTCCAGCAGTTGTCTCCAATTGTAAGTCCTCCAGCAGCTGTTTGTCCTATCACAAGCCAAGCAGTGACTGTTTAT